CAAAATAAAGCTCTGGAATATCTCCGAGGAGGGTGAAAATATAAAGGTAAAAGCTGTGACCTTTAAAATGGGATATTAGCTCAACAGAATGTTAATTTTTAACCACAAACACCCATGCTGCTCTTCAGTGTGTGACATGAACTACTATTAATACATAAACAGTCACTCTTAATTAATGCATAGGCTCTAAATTCATTCAGCTTCTTACAGCTCCACAGTCCACAAGTGTTAATAAGTTGGATTTGATTTTGTACCTATCAGCTGAATGTAAGTGAAAGGCCCTTTGCCTGAGGTTAAGAGTGGTCCAATTTGCAATGTTAGTTTAGATTCCTTAAAATCCCTTATCTGCCAAGAATTTCATTCTGCTGTTGTCAAGCCTTGCAAAAGGACTTTGGATCACCATGTAAGTGAGGAAGGTAAAACACCCCACAAATAGAGCATACAAGTGAAACCTTTTTGTGCCATGTGCAACCCTTCTGTCCACAGAGAAGTGGGTGCAAACAGGCAAAACACATCTGAGTAAAAGGCAGTCAGCCTTATGCCTTGATTTTCAATTTGCTAAATGATCCCTGGACATTAATTGCTCTCAGTGGTGAAAGTTCACATGCAAATGTAAATCATTAAAGGTTAAAAATATAAGAAAAAAAAGAACATGAGGGACAAGAAAGAAAGAAGTAAAATAAACTACTGAAGTATAAAAATATATATATAAAAATACTACTGAAGTTGCAATTTGGCTCACAACTCACTGAAAATCGAGCCAATCCATCTGACTCAGCTGGGAATTTCTTTACCCCTCTTTACATTTGGCTCCAGATATTATATCACTTTTGCTATGATCTGTATCACAGGTATGCAACCCATGGCATTCAGGGCATCATGAGTGGCTTCTTGCTCACCAAATCTTGCATCCTGCATGCACATATACTACAAAGGTTAGTGAATAAATTAATTGCTTTTTAATCGTGGTATAGCTAGTGTGCAGTTCTATATATGCTATAGCTAGATTTCCAACATAAGCTTCTGCTTTGTTGAAAAAGTCATGAAGAATACTCTTTGACATGTATGCTACTTTTCAAAACTCAGTGCTGAACAGTTCAAAGTATACTCAAGAGACACAGGATTCTTCAAGGTAAGAGCAGGTATGCAATGTGATTCAGAAGGGGAAATTACTGGAAACTGAATCAAATTTAGGGGAGAGAAAATACTGCAGGGATAATGATAAATAAATAAATAACCAAAGCATACAACATCTCTTCTGTCACTCTGCAAGCTAATCTTCAGTCAACATTTACACTGTGCTTTTAGAAAGAGCCTGTATTCTTTGGAACTTTGACTGAAACTTCCTTAACTTTCAAAACTGGTAAGTCATTCCCTCTTTAGGTCACCAGAGAAGTGTCCAACTTAAACAACGAAACACATGTTGAGCAATGTGGAGGCTAGAAGAGACAGCAAAACACTGCATTTTGATTTGAATCTTCCACACACTTAACAAAAATTTGAACATTTTAAAAAATGTGCTGAACTGTTTGAATGGTATTTTTTCAATTATACACTATCATAGGCAAATTGAACAGCATTGGCATTCAAGACTCCTCAAGTTGTTTGTTAAAAATAGCTATTTTTGCTTCCAGGTGGGGCTGCACATATGCATTCTGCTCAACAGCTATGAACAAAACCAGTAGAGGAAACATTTTCTTCAGACTTGAAGGGTAAAAGAGTAATAGAATAATGCTACCCTGTTCTAGGACAATAGTTGCTTTTGTAATAAAAGGCATTTTCCTTGGCTTTTTGTATTGCTTATTTAAACCAAGTAGGGCACTCAGGATATCATTTCATGGTGTTCAGAGGTGCCAGAAGGGTTTGCCTTTATCAGTGCAAGAGTAAACAGTGCAAAGTGTGGGTGTGTGGATCCTTACCTGGGGGAGCCTGCTACAGGACAAACATCAGTGGGATTTGAGATGAGCTATGTGAGAACCTGAGTGACGTGGGAAGTGAATATTGAGTGATATCTACAGAGAACACAAGGAAGAAAAAGACTTAAAGCTTCAGATATGGGATCATCTTATTACACTGTTCTTTATTCAGTAACCAGTCATGACTATAAAATAAAACTAAAAATTCCTTACCTAATTCCTTACCTTAATCTGAAAAAACCCCAACAAAATCTGACTGAAACTAACACTTTACTTACAAAGTCATGACAATATCTCAGAATTCTAGATGTAAAAAAGAAGTTTCTCTATTAGTCACATCCCTGTTTTGAATGAATGCTATGTTTAATGTCTATATGATACCTTTATGAAGTAGCTTCTTTAAAAATAAACCCAAGTGGGCCAGGTTCCTCTTCTTTCTTTAGAACAGCCTTAGAGTTATATTAATTACTGATGATAGGTAAACTAATGCAGATCTTGATTTGGCTAGAAGACTTGATGACAGACCACAGTGTATGCATAACTTTTTAGACAACTGCAGGAGGGAGCTGCCAGTCCATCTGTCACTTTATGTTTTAATTGTGCAACTTGCTTTATTAATCAAGAGACTCATACAAAACAGTATTATTTTCTGAAATATTTATGTGCTTGTCCTCATTTCATGACCAAGCCCATGCCAATCCTCTTGAGCTCTTTCCCCAGAATGGTAACATTGACTCCACATTTCATTCATTTCCCATAAATAATGCAGTTTGTCTGCTGTGATATGGAGGGTATCATGTTATCTGTAACAGCTTTCTCAAATATTTTTCAATTGCACAAATGCAATAAAGAATTATTTTTGTTACACTGACCTATATACACCGATTTTGCCTCATTATTTTTTGTACTTCAGCTTCAAAATGCAAGTTTGAGAACATACATTCTCCTTTGTATTGAAAACATGCATATCCTATAGATCAGGTGAGTATAAGAATAATATATTCTGCTCTTTATTCCTTGAATTGGTCAAACTACTTCTTTTTTTTTCTTTGGAAATTAAATGATTAAACTTATTGAAAGCAATTTCATTTCCACAATGGATTAACTTATTCTGTTCTAGGTTTTTGATACCAGCCATGGTTTTACAGTGTTGGAATTTGTGGAAATATTCTGAAATATAGTAATCCTTTTTTCCACCCCTTGTGATTTTACCACTACATGAATGGTTTTACCACTCACGGGAAAAAGCCACCTCTTCATGGCTAGTACTTTTTATAACTCTAGCTAATGCTGATTCTTCACAAGTATTACAATTATCTTAGCAATCAGAAGAGAATGTAGGTTATACCATGTTTTGCATAAATTTGACTTTGACTGATTTCTCCTTTATTTTAAACAGAAAGTTGAAGTCTTGATATTTTTTCCTAAAAGCCTGCATTGCTTGCTAAAAGGCATTTTAATTAGAATGCATAGATTGCTTAATGGCACCTAAAGATTAAATTCAGTGGAATGGGTTTAACAAAACTGATTAAGGCACCACTGTTTGCATGATGAGTATGGTAGCAATAAATGAAATAAATTAACATGGCCTTACTACACTGAGAACAAAAATAAATTAATAAATGTATATTTTAATTTGGTATTCTCTCCTTCTTAAAAAATGGTGTTGCTATTTAGTTAGCCTTTACAATCACATCACAGCAGATAAGAAATTGGGTTTTACTGGAGTGAAAGAATAGAAATTTAATCTGTGTAAATTCAATCTGTGTGTTAAAAACTGAAAGGGACAAAACCTTCTCTTTTGTACAAGGACTTCAGTGGAATTTTGTTTGTCTACATCAATAGAGAACTGGCCTGAAATGTCACACAGACATGAAAGCAAACTATATTTTATTACATGGCTTCTGTTAACACAGTTACATCACTTCAGCATGGAATACTGACTAACAATTCATGTTGATTTCTATCACTACTATTGCATCTAAGTAGTATATTTATTATAAAATGATTTTAAGGATGAATCATGCTGTTCATGTTCATGTCTTGCTTCAATTCACATTGCTGTCACTAAGAATGAATGTCTACATCTTCCTAGTCCAGGCTTTTACCTAAGCAATCCCTAGATACATCTCCACTGACACTTCTAGTGGTTTTGTATCTTCACTGTTGTCCAGGAGTAAGTGTCTGGGCTCTTATTAGTAAGGGAGTACTACAAATGATGAGTAGTCAGCATTTACTTTCGTGTTTAGCAATTCTAAACTTATCACAAGGCTGCTGAATTGAACAAAAAAAACCACAAGCAGGTGTAGGTATTAATTTTTCGACTCAAATGCCTATGGAGAATGTTCCTTTCTCATATTTTCATGTACAGTGGAGCTGAACTGACTAAATGCCAGCATCTGCAATGTAGATGTCTGCACCTAAGGTAGCTCTTGGTATTTGAGGGAGAAAAATGGTAATTTATCTAATCCTGAAGGAGGTATCTCAAGTAGGTCAGATGAATCATGGTCTAAAAGAGTCTGTTTCTCTCTACACTAATAAAAAGAACAAAAGAAGACGATGAGGATAAAATCAGATGAAAAAAATCTTTCCCACACTCTGAGACAAAGTTTTAAGGTTTCTTCAAACAATATAAGAAACAGCTAACACAAGTTTCCAGCTAAAATCATACTCTAAGTTCTGGAGAAGTAAGAATGCATAAAAGTTTTTTTCCCACAGGAAAATAATAGAAAAAATATATATCCCCAAATAACATGCAAGTGCACATGAAAGGTAATGGGAAAATGCTATTGTAAAGAAAGAGAAGGACAGGCAAGAGAGGTGGAGTGGTATCTGAGATATATCTTTTAGATATATGTCCTGTCTAAAACCAGAAAAAGAAATAGCAATGGTAGTTAAAGAAGATGAGTGACAAACATGCTAAGAACAGAAGAGTATCACCTACCTGCTAGGAGAGGTTAATTTCTTCAAAGATTTTACTATGATAACAAGGTTACTTTCTGATGTAGTTAAGATCAATTCTGGAGTACACAGAAATCCTAGTTGAGAGAGAACTAGTGACACAATGTGCTACTTTTGTCTTACCTCTATAAAGAAGAGACTAGCTGCTGACGTTGGATGATGATACATGTAGACAGTCACAAGGATGGCTGCAGCCACAATGAGGACCAGGACTAGAATGCCTACAATTAAGCCAGCATGAAGTGTCCCACCTTTCTTCTCTGCTGCACTGTCATCTGTTGAAGCTGCAGAGAGAGAACACTTATTAGCACAGTAACTTATGTCTTATCCATTCCATTACACAGGTGGCAATGGAGCATTTGCTTTTTGTGTTACGTGTACCTCAATTTATACAGCTCAAGTTGGAAAAAGATAGAATCACAGAATCTTTGAATCAGCCAGGTTGGAAGAGACATCAAAGATTATCTAGTCCAACCCTACAGTGGTTACTAGCCCATGGCACTAAGTGCCACATCCAGTCTCAGCTTGAAACCCTCCAGGGATGGGGAATCCACCACCTCCCTGGGCAGCACATTCCAATGCCTGAGCACTCTCTCTGTAAAAAATCTCTTCCTAATATCCAACCTAACCCTCCCCTGGCAGAGCTTGAGTCTGTGCCCTCTTGTCCTGCTGCTGGTTGCCTGGGAGAAGAGACCAACCCCCACCTGACTCCAACCTCCTGTCAGGGAGTTGCAGAGGGTGATAAGGTCTCCCCTGAGCCTCCTCTTCTCCAGGCTGAACACCCCCAGCTCCCTCAGCCTCTCCTCATGGCACCTGTGCTCAAGATATTAGATGGCTCCTTCCTACAACCAGGTATTCTCATGATCTTAAGGAAAAGATGTTTTTAAACGTTTTACTAATTGTAACTCAATCAACAAAATTAATATTCTTTCTTTTGAATGTGAACTGGATGTTCTGCAGCCCCTAAATGCCTTCATAATACATTTTCTCATAAAATTATCTCAATTGACGCTCAGACAAAAAGTGTTAATTGAACAAATTTTGAACATTGTATTTTTTATGAAAGATTTGAGTTGAGACATGCAACAAACCCGTGTGAGGTCTAGCTATTAAACACATTCTGAAAGCCTTATTCATTAGCTTGTAGAGGAGTTTGGAACCACTCTGTGCCACTGAAGCAGAGAGCCAAAAGTGCAACAGATGGATGCTAAATGACCCTGCAATATTCTAATCTTGGTCTGAATGGAACAGTCATTATACCAAAGTATTACAGAAGACTATCCATTTACTAAACTTGATACCAAGAGGCCACTCATTCTATGCTCCCACCAGGAGAAAAGAAGGCTGGCTCTGTCACATATGTAACTTGTCAGCAGTGCTTTCAAATAAGTGACTGGAAGCCTTTTAACTACACTGTAACTTTAGTGGGAAAAGTCTCTCAAGATATCAGCCAGCATTTGTAGAACTGCTTGTTCTTCAGTATACTCTTGCATAAAAGCAGAATTACTGTTCTGCCCACTTCTGCAGGCAAAAGAGCCATTCAAAAGTCCTAGGTTTACAAAACACTAGAGGAACACTGGCAATTTGACTTCACAAACTTATTTCTAATATTCCCACTGATTGCTGCCTTTCTGGCAATCCTTCTAATCACCTCCATGCCTAACTCCACGCAACACCTGTCTCTGGTCCTGCTTATGAGAAATTTTCTTTCGATTCACCTTTTAAATTTCCTCTAATCATGTTGTTTGCCAAGCTGACTATAATGAAAATTAGTAATTTCTGTAGTCACCCTTCTTGCTGTGCCACCCCCCTGAACTATTAGTTTGGTTGTCTTAGAGTCCTATGTTCTTTGAGGTCAGGGACTCCCTTTTATTTGTTCTTTGAAGACAAATATTGAGTTATGGCTACCTCTCCAAACAAATTATTGTTATTGTTATTAATAATAACAACAACAATAGCAATGACTGTACATGGTCATTTACCATTCATCAAATTGGAGTACTCAATGTTAATAAAGAGAATTGGAAAATACTGGAAGAAAGGCATATTGATCCAGGTAGCATTAAATGCCTGGCCATGAGGGGTACTAAAAGAAAACAGGATCAGTTAACCTCAGTGTAACAGCTCATGGATCCACATTATGACAGCCCTTTTTTCACCAGACCAAAGAAGTCTGTATGGCCTGTCATACAGTGAATTGCATGGGACCATTGCAACAATAGGGAGGAAAGAAAACTGAAGATGCATTATCTTAGCCAAGACATATTTCTGACTCAATTACTCAATGTAATAGTTATGAATATATGGAGGCAGTGAAGGGATTCAGGTATGCTTCCCTTGCTTTTGTCCATATTTCCTCAATCTTGAGTCAGGACAGTCAAAACCCCACAATATTGCTCTGCTCTTTCCCATAAAGTCAGTAACCTCTTGTGGAGTAAGGACCTCTGCAACAGAACCAGAAGATGAAGATCCCAATAACTTGAGAGGCTCAACTAGGATGCTGAGTATTAATGAATATAACAAAAAATTGTAAGCATCTTCCCCTACTGTCTGGGGTGGAGCACTGCATGGACATCAGTCCAGTGATCAGAATGCAAAACTCAGAAAAAGAAATAGAAATACAAGAAACGTTTTTCTTAAATTACAACAAGTGTAAGTAACTTGTAATTTCCATAATTGAAATTCAGTCCATTGACCCCAGGGCTCACATACTCATGAGAAATTGATTTCATTCTCTTTGCACAGAGAAAATAAACAGTGTTGTCAACTTTGAAAATACTCTTTGCTGCAAAATCAACTGGCAGTACTTTTAAAAAAGCCACCAAGGGAAATAGATGAAAAAATAGGGACTTGGAAAATTTTTCAGGTGTAGAAATCTTACTAAGATTATCACAGCGCATCTGTTTTTCCAGGCAAGGCTAAACCCATGGAAGGCTATCTGCCATATGACCAATACTTTCCCAAATGGAGTATTATCAAAGGAACTTTCCCCAAACTTTCCTTTTCTTGTGCTCAAAAAGCAATCGTTACATACAATATACTCCATAATCCCTCCCCAAAGTGTTACATGCATAAAACTTTTAAGCAGAAGGAGCATGTTAACATCTCCAAGGTCAGCCTGCTGCTCATTAGGTGCTGAATGACAGGATAAAAAGAGCAAGTAGGTTTTTTTTCCCAAATAAAAATGCACCGAATCAAAACATTTGAGTGTCAGTCCTGAAGAGTAAGTGAGTCCAGGAAGGCTGGAAGTGCTTTAAAAAGGAATTGTTAAACATTCAGGAGCAGGCTGTCCCTATGTGTAGGAAGACAAGCTGTCAAGAAAAAAGACCAGACTGGTTAAACAGAGAACTTAGGCTGGAGCTTAGGGAAAAAAGGAGAATCTATTGTCTTTGGAAAGCGGGTCAGACAACTTGGGAAGATAATAAGGATGCTGAGAGGTCATGTAGGGTGAAGATTAGAAGGGTCAAAGCCCAACTAGAACTTGATCTGGCTGTAAAAGTCAAGGACAATAAAAGACCTTTTTATAAATATGTTGGCAGCAAAAGGAGAGTCAAGGAGGGTGTCCATCAGTTGCTGAATGCAGAGGGTAGTGTAGTGACAGGGGATAAGGGAAAGGTAGATGTCCTTAATGTCTTCTTTGCCTCTGTCTTTAATATCAAGACCAGTTGTCCCCAGGAAGTTGGTGATGGGGGGGTGAGTGAAGCCTGCATAATCCAGGAGGAAATGTTTAACGACCTGTTGTGCCAGTTGGACACTCACAAGTTCATGGGCCTGATGGGATTCACCTCAGAGTAATAAGGGAACTGCCAAAAGAACTTGCTAAACCACCTAGAATCATCTGCCAGGAGTCCTGGATAATTGGAGAAGTTCTGCCTGACTGGAAATTAGCAAATGTAACAGCCATTGATAAGCAGGGTCAGAAAGATGATCTGGAGAAATACAGGCCTATCAGCCTGACCTTGGCTCTGGGCAAGGTCATGGAGGAGATCATCCTGAGTGCCAGCACATGCAGGGCAGTCAGGTGATCTAGCCCAGCCAACATGGATTTATGAAAGGAAGGTCCTGTTTGACCAACCTGATCTCCTTCTGTGACAAAGTGACCCCATGCAGTGCTGCAGGCCAGGGGAGCATTGGCTCAAGAGTTGTTTGTCAGCAAAGGACTTGGGGGTGCTGGTTGGCATCCAGCTCAATATGAGCCAACAGTGTGCCCAGGTAGCCAAGAAAGCCAATGGCATCTTGGCCTGTATCAAAAATAGTGTGGCCAGCAGGACTAGGGCAGTGATATCCCCCTGCACACAGCACTGGTGAGGCCACAGCTCGAGTACTGTGTTCAGCTTTGGACCCTTCACATGAAAAAAGAACACTGAGGTCCTGGAACATGCCCAGCAAAGGGCAACAAGGCTGCATGTCCAGCTTTATAAAAATACATGAATTGATTTAATTAAAGTAGATTGTGCCATACTATTAATACTAACGTAAAATGATTATCTTATTCTTACATAAAATCTACTATCCTTCAAACACTACCTTAGGAAATTCAGATATGTTTATATATTATTAGTAGTACTATTTCTGTAAAACTATTGTAGAATCAGAGAAACTTGATAATCCCTAAAGAATGAAGGATTTAGCTAACTAAAAACTTGCTGTGACAACACAATCCAACTTTTCTTTACATTGTTCACAGGGATGCCAACAGATGCTGCAAGTTTTGTAACTTGCTCCATAAAAACCAGCTCAGTCCAGAGTCCTGACTTGTGGGTGGAACTGAGATATACTGAAAGCTGATTTCTTAGCTGCCCATTTCTGCTTCTTGGTTGGATGTTGGGTACAAGTTTTGCTAGCTGTATAAATTTGATATATAAACAAAGGTATGTACTGCTTAGGACAGATGCTATTTGAGGTATCAGAAACCTATGATAATGTATACTTTTTTTTTTTTTTTTTTTAAAGTCATCTGAACTATTTTCATCCCTCTCCAAGGTTTATTCCATGGCAATAAAACTGTCTGCCAGTGACAGTGCTGGAACGTTCTGACTTTGGGCAAATCAGTTGAATCTGTCAGGTCAAACCCATCTCTCCTCACTGCTGCTCCAGTTATCTGTCTTATACACTACTATACCTATGTTAACCTCATTCAACCATCCTTACACACATAACTATTCTCCTTTCATAACCATCTTTGGATCATTATAGATCTGGTTCCAGTCATGCAGGAACTTCAGGATGTCTGACAGCTGTTTCCATGTAAGAGATGTCTACAAGCCATTCGACAACACCTCCT